GTGTCACCCTGCTGCTCTGTCCCTGCAGCCTAGGGAAGCGGTGACAGTGGGAGGCACGGCTTTGCCTGGTCACTGAAGCAGAACCTGATTCTTCATCTGCTTCCAGCACCAAATCTCCTGTGCCGGGCAGGAGGAGCAACGCCCAGGCCTGGCTGCCCTTGGCTGGGCGCATGTTGAGGGCCAGCAGGACCTTCACCATGCTTACGGCTGTTCCCTGCCCCAGCACATCTGTTTTGGTGGCCCAGCTCAGTTTGAGGATTGCAGAACCTGAGATCTGGTCTTGGGTTTGCTCCTGACTGTAACCTTCCCAGCACACCGTCCTCTTCTGTGCCTCAGTTTCCCCTCTGAGATAGGCAGAAGGGATGCTAGAGGGGTGGAGGGGCTTGTGGTACATGGGACGCGTGGGGTTGGCATCTGCCGGAGACTTGGAGAAGGAAAGCAAAAACAAAACATGGAAATCAAAAGTGTCACCATCTGTGTCTTTTGTTCCAGAAAGCTGCAGGTCCTGGCCACCGAGCTGGTTCCCTGGGCGATTCGGAGCGGGCGCAACGCCAGCTGTATCCTGAACGTCTACTATGAGCAGCGCTGGGAGCAGTCAGTGGAGTCTCTGCGGGAGGAGATCGGCATCTTCCCTCCCCCAGCCGTTGAAGTGTGAGAGCTGAAGTACGGGGACAGGACAGGGAGGGCCGCAGCCATCCCCTGCCATGCTTCATCTCCTCCTGCCCGGGAGCACAGCGCAGCTCTGCTACCAGCTGCCGCGGACCTGGGAGCTGAGTTTTCTCCTGCCAAGAGCTGGCACCCTCCTGTCAGTAGAGGCCAAGTGGCACCTCCCTGTGCTGTGACAAAACTTGACCCTTTTTGCTGTTTGTGATTCAGTGGAGGGATGGCAAGTCCCGCCGTGCCTTTGCCAGCTGGGTCTGGCTGCTGGCTCTGCTACTGATGCTCAAGAATGCTGGGAGGGAGCAGAGCTGGTTTACAACACACTGGAGCAAACCTGACCTTCTGCAGCTCTAGGGCTGTATAGGCAAATCCCTTCTCCCACCCTCCCAGGGAGGATCAAGGCTTAAAGTCTTGGAGCCACCCTGGACTGGAGCTAAACCAGTGAGTTACAGAGCAGCCCAGGGGCAGGTTTGGTGTGTGCAACAGTGAAATCCCATTTTGTACTGGTGCCTGACTGGTCTTCTGATGGGTCATTTTGGATGTGCCTCACGCCTTGGAGACCAGGCAGTGTGTCATTGCATGCCCATGGGAGCAGGCAGGGATATTTACCTTTGGGTATTATCCCTGCTGGATTGGCTGTTCGAGAGCCGATCCCAGTCTGCCGTGTCTCCCTGTAGTCCCTCCCCATCAAAGATGCTGAAATCCGCGTGATTGTGCTGGGTTTTTAACAGGGATCATCCCCTCCTTGGGCAACAAAATGACACGATCAGGAATAAGGGGCGGAATCCCAGGAGTGCAGAAATGGCGGCTGCTTGCACTTCGTCTGGGAGCTGATTGCTGTCTGGGTTAAACAGGGCTCCAGGCCGCCAGTGCCTGGAGTGCAGAGCTGTCAGATGCGAGGGCAGAGAGCCACGAGGCCGGGGGCTCTTTGTACATGTGGGTTTGCTGTTGAAATGCCTTCTTGCTTAATAAAATCCATGGTGGAGCTTGTGGTTCGTTACCCCTCTCCTTCCGCCTCATCTCCCCTTCTGAGGAGGAGATCTGATGTGAAACCTCAGCCCTTTTCAGCTCCAGAGGGGTTTGCTGTTCTTTGTCTGTGGTGGTAGGTGATGGCGTGGTCGCACGTACCTGGGGCCCGGGGCACAAAATGGGCTGCAGGGCCGCATCTTCCCAGCTGGGATTTGGGGGTCCTGGGCTGATGAATGAGTGGCTCCTTGCAGTCATTGTTGCAGAAAGGGCTGGACGGGGAAAAACTGGGGTGCGGAGCAGGAGGGGGGCAAGGCTGGGGGCTTCCTAAACCAATCCTGGTTCCCAGGGGAAGAAGGGGGTGCTCTGACTGGGGTCCTTTGGTGGCAGCTGGGGGACGTGGCATTGCCTTGCTGTGAGCTTCGCTGGCTCCATTCCAGTCTCCCACGGGATGCTGGGGCAGACGAGCAGGAGTAGGGGCTGATGGTGCGACCAGGGGTCAGGGTTGCTCCATCCCAGGAGGCTGAGCAGGGGCAAAACTCTCGGGTTTTGGGCAACATTTAAGAGCAGACACCAGGACAGGACTGGCTTCCCTCCTGTGCCCCCTAACTCCCCATTTTCAACTTCTCCCTCCATCCCCACCCCCACCAGCCAGACTTTGGGTTTCTCCAAAACCAGGCTCGTGCCTCCCCTTGGCCTCCAGAGTTATTTCAAGCAGATAATAAAGGTTCTCATACAAATACATCCTTCAGCTGCTGTAAAACACGCAGAGTGAGGGTTGTCCTATTGCACTGGTCGAGATGAAAGAAGCGTTTGGCCCTAAAACAGCCCGGAAATGTGCTTTTCTGCATGGGAAATGTGTCGGAGCTTTGGGGTAGTTAAACTGAAGGGAAGCAAAGATTCATCATTTCCAGAAGCTGTGAGCAGCAGTCAAGGAAACGTGGGAAATGATGGTCGTGAGAGAAGGTTTTGCTGCACTTTGGGTTAT